ATTGAGCTGTACAAAAGAGTTAAACCAACTTGTTTCTATTAGTGATCTACTTATTAGCTCACACAACAATTAAAGTATATTGTTCTATGTTATTGTATATAGTATTGTTTATATTGAGCTGTACAAAAGAGTTAAACCAACTTGTTTCTATTAGTGATCTACTTATTAGCTCACACAACAATTAAAGTATATTGTTCTATGTTATTGTATATAGTATTGTTTATATTGAGCTGTACAAAAGAGTTAAACCAACTTGTTTCTATTAGTGATCTACTTATTAACTCACACAACAATTAAAGTATATTGTTGTATGTTATTGTATATAGTATTGTTTATATTGAGCTGTACAAAAGAGTTAAACCAACTTGTTTCTATTAGTGATCTACTTATTAGCTCACACAACAATTAAAGTATATTGTTCTATGTTATTGTATATATTATTTTTTACACATTGTGATGTATTTTAAACTATTTTATATATAACATCCGAAAATCATATATATTTAGTTTTACTTTAACATCTATATACAGAGAGACGTTTCTTGATCAATAAGCACAACATGACACAGTTATACACGGTCATATGAGGTAGGTCATGAGGGAATACGGACCCTCACCTAATTTCATATTGGTAGAATAATTTAAAACAGTATGCCTTTTTTTACAGTATTGGTACCTTTATGTATTTTTATCACACATTAAATGTTTATAATGTTAAAAATAAAAGCACAATTCCCGACCCCTTCTTACAAACTACTTTTTATTTCACTCATCCAACGGACTACTACTACAATCTATCTATACAAATGTATGTGTGTGTGTCTGTTACTTATAGATCATTATTACTTTTTTAGTTATTATTTTTTATATATTCATCTTTATTTTATTTTTATTTTTTCAAGTTGTTTTTTCTAATTCTTAGTATCTTGAGTGGGGACAAAAAAAACGTTTCTGAACATCCCCGATTGCGTTCAGTCCTAAACGGCAAGTTTAGGAATAAAAATTTTAAATCAAATTTACTACCACGTTGTTTGACTTTGGCTTGGTTCCTTATACGTTTCCACATTTCTTGTTCGTTCAGCACCAAACTTAACACGGATATACAGGATAAAGTTCTTTAGTTCACTTCTAAACCTAAATCATTTCTCAATTAAACTGTTTGCTTTTACATCACCAAAAGTAAACAAAAAAGCAAATAGAAATAAACCAAAAATTAAATTTTATATTACGTAATTAACATAAAGAACATAGTGGCGTGACAATAATATCGTGAGTTTTGTTGCTAAGTGACGATATATATATTGTTGTGGATTATCAAAAAAGGAGCATGACACGAAGAACTGATATAGGAACTGATATATTGAGATGTAGTATATTGTTACATATCTGCTTATTTGTTAATTTCAGGTATAAATTCTTTCCGAGGAACTTCAGCGATAGAAGTCCTTTCTTAATTAAAACTAGTTTATTCTTGATACAACTTTGTAATATACAGAATTTTCACAGTCATTTTAAACGTAACAACCTTTATAACACACGCTATAAATCACAGTGATTCACACACTTTACTTACAGTGCCTATTGTTCGCTTGACTCCATTATCTATCTCTTCAAGCTATCTGCATATCTATATCTATGCAATTGCGCTGGTTTTTCTCGCCAAGCTTATATACTAAAAAAGAGAGCGCCTGACAAACACTCGGACATTCGCGGGGTTCCTCGATAATTCATTATCCTTCGAGAAACTCCAGCGCGCATGCTCCCAGTGTCGCGTGACTTCCGTTGTCGTAACAATATCAAGAAGCTTTAATTTAGATTGTGTAATTTTTGTTTTGTAAAACAAAGGTTTCGATCAAAAATTAAAATGTTATGAAAATAGATTTTTTAAATAAATGTTCTTAAAATAAATTTCATTGTGTTTTTAAATATATATTTCAAGTAATTTGGACACCTGTGCAGCGAAAGAGTAATTAAACGAATATTTCTATTTGTAATACGATTTTCCACTTTTCCACCACAGTTATTTTTTACTAGCTCAAGTTATATCACTTTTCTTTTGATTAATAACTAAATTGTCAATAAAAAAAACTTATAAATAAAGTAAATTCTTATGTTTTTTTATAAAACCTGTGGATTTCTGGACTTTTTTCTATTATGAACATACTGTTGCGT